AAAAATCGATGGTAACAAAAAAGGTGAAATACTTATGAGTTTTTACATATGGTTTAACCTTAATTGATGGTGATCTTTTTACTATCAATGTGTTACCAATATCATGAAACAATTTCTATCTGTCTACCACGGAAAAATTATTTTCCTAAATTGTCGACCACATTACCGTAAAAGAAGAAGTCACTCCAATATTTAGGTTATAACCACTAAGGTTCTACACCTTGGCATAAGCCATAGATTCACCCTCAACGACTTGTTTTAGGAAATCTTAAATATCCTTCCTTTTATTCTATGGCTAATTGATGGTAAAAATCAATGGTCTTGTTACCATTTGAATTATTGAACGTAGAGGTTACGACGGTAATCTTCATCAAACATCGAATCTCTAAGAAAGTAAGTCAAGTCTTGATTTGCTAAGATCGTACTCCGGATCGATTGTTCATCGGTAGAAAATTATATCTTGTGGAGCAATTTATTCGAGGAAAACCATAACGACCCATATTAGTGTACATAAAAGACATCCAGTCTTCTAATGCATCTCGTATACAAACCAAAATGTACAAGATAAGGTCTTGAGCTTGTTGGTTGATGTATCATAAAGTCTTACGTATGTACGAGCAAGAAGAAATGGACTCATGTTTACTCTGCTCATCCCATCAAGTCAAGCTAAATTGATAGTCTAAGGTAAAAAAGGCTTTAATTGGCTTCTCGAATTCGAACCAATAATGTATTTGGAAATCCATAAAAGATAGAAGTCAATCTCTTTATCATAAGATATTTCTATCCCCTCTCCATAACAATTTACCGGTGTCTATAAGTTTTGGGAAGTCTATTCTTCTAGATTTTAAGGTCTACATCGTACGCACTTGAAAGCTAAAGTCTAGCCAATTGGATATAAGCGAGGTGATGGACATAACATCAAATAAGGTCATTGATATATGCCCTTCTAAAAATTTAAATTAGTTGACATAGGGATTTTAAAAAGTAACCATATAGTCACTAAGCCGGGATTTGCGAGTAAGAGTAGGTCGATAGAAGGATGGCCTCGTGAATCCCCATCGTATCCCATTTCCTTGCCTAATTATGGAATGAGCCTTTTTTTAACTCGGTCTTCATATTTGGTATCTAGTTTTGACCAAATAACGGGAAAAACCTTGATAGATTAAGTCCAATTTTGAAGAGTTAGATAGGATTTAGGGGAAAAGAGTATGCCGAGCATCACAAGTCTTTGGGAAGACCGTGTCGATCATGTTTATGAGATGAAAAACTTCGGTATTGATAATGGGACCCAACATATGATAAGAACTCCTTTATGGGTTCTTCTTATGATCAATCATAACATAGATGATTTCATTACTAGTAATAGTCCGGAACAAGTATGTGTTAATCACACGTATGTGCTTGAAGAGTTCATTTAGTTGAAAGCAATCCCCTTAGGGGTAACCTTCTCTTAAATAACTTTTTTGGAGGATTTAATATTTCTTTTTACACCCATTTTTATGGAAGTGAAAGAGTAATCTAACAAATGGTAAAAGAAATAATCGATGGAATGTCATAAAGAAGGAAAAAGTTTTTTATCTTGTAAGATCTAGTAGAGGAGGAAATCGTAGTAAAAGTTAAATGTTGAAAATCACTTTTCCTTTTTATATGATATATTTTAAGGTGTGATGGTTCAGATGTGGTGAAATGAAAGCCACTAACTTTGGGTAACCGAGGCATGAAAATGATTACGGATGGCCGTTTAAGAAATGAAATAGTGGGAGATCTCATCACGTCTATCAACGAGTTAATGTTTTACCCATTAAAGAAAGAAAATTTTCATTTCATCTCTAAAGAGCTGAAAGGGGGCATATATTGGCACTTCAAAATTTAAGATCACACATCGATCAAATATCTCTTTAAGGTGAGACGAGTAAAAACATAAATAAAATAGTGTTTTTGGTCTTATAAACTAACCAAATTTTGATGAACCAGGTAAGTCTTAAATTAAATGGTACGTTTGGTTTTATAACCAATCAAGTTTTGATGAAGCATTGTCTCTTAAGTAAAATGATGTGTTTGGTCATATAACCAACCAAGTTTTCACGAAATCATAAGACTTAAGTAAAATGATGCATTTAGTCTACAATTAGCCAATTTCGATGAGAAATATGCTTAAAGGAAATAAAGAGACAATTACCAAATAACTATTTACGCTTAATTTTAAATCCAAGGTAATTATCAATCAAGAGTTATTTAAAAAAGGGGACAAACGAATTAGGACGGATGAACAATACAAGACTTTTTCAACACAAGTTTATTCAAGTTCTATAGTTTATTCTATAACTATTAGTTTCTACTTTTCTGCAAGTAGTTCGATATCTTTTAGTGCTTTCGGTAGTTCTATCATTTTAACTTAGAAAATGTTAATGTGTTAGTGATTGTGGACAAATGGCTTCAAATGTCTCGATAGCTAATAATGTAAGTGTCATATTTTTCGATCTATGATGTTTACGTTCTTTTCAATAAATTTTATCTCTTGTAATTGATAAAATTCTTTTCCATCTATTGAATGTTATTTCTTCGATTAATAACATTTCTTTTTTGTTAAATTGAATACTCATAGAAAATTCTAGTGGCTTATTAGGTAAAACCAAACCTTATATTATTTCATTGCGAAGGTTTTGGTCATAATTAAAGCCTCGATATACTCCGCTTTGATATCAAATTCGATAAGCAACAATACTATCGAAAGTTGATGTAAATTAACCACTCTATTATGTTTTTCTAGTAGTTTGACTAACTTTTAGTAGTTGACCTAAGAATAACCAATACAAGGTCGACACTTGTCATTTTAAGGCTGAAAACGTAATTTTGTTTTTAATTTTGATTTTCATGACTTTTTTTATGTTTAAATCATTTAAAAATAAATAATAAACCAATCATGCTGACCTAAATCCTAAAAAATTGATTTAACCCTAAATGTTCAGATTTTCTTGTTACTTAGCAACAAATCTTTACTGATTTATTTGTTGCTACAATTCATCACGTATGTAGTGCTCTTCTTTTTTCTCATCTTACTCTTCTTCCTTGTCTTCTTCTTTTTTCTTCCTCAATAACATAAAGCAGAGTAAGATATAAGAAATTATGCTCTTTTGTTCATCAAAAACCCATGTGAGATTATGTGTGTCCAGGAATAAAGAGCTATTGTAGTTTGAAGACACCAAGATAGACATCAACCAGCTACGGCATAGAGCATTCGAGGCCAGGACTTATAAAAATAGGTCAATCTTCTCTGTCTGTGCACTGTGGAATTCTTCGAGTGCTTGTTGGGAGCATTTTGAAAGTTGTGAAAAGAAAGTTTCACTACTACTGACAACGTCTTTCCTGTAAGTCCATAATACTTAGCAATAAAAATCTTGGGCTACGGTCATGCTATGGTCGGGTTTGCATAATATGGGCAATGTTGGCGTGATATAAGGAAGCTAGCTAAGGTTGAACCCTCTCAAACAGCAGGCTTGAGAGTTGAGATGCTTAAGCATGTCTGGGACACAGAAACTAAGTTTCTTGTGAATGGATTTTCATGAGAAATCGATGAAGGATGGAGGGCATGTAATGGTGGAAATGAAGGAGAAGTTTGAGAACTTGGCAATGAACATAAGTGATGAATTGTAGCAACAAACAAATTAGTAAAGATTTGTCGCCATTAGCAAGAACATATGAACACTTAGGGTTAAATCAATTTGAGAATTTAGCTTTGCTAGATATACAATTATATATATTGTAAAGAGATGCTAACTACGGTTAGCACAATTTTTTTCTTAAAAAAAAATTAATTCAAACTTAAAACGAAGTCCGAAAAAATAAAGTTATGTTTTTATCCTTTTGTAAGTTAAACCAACATAAAAACACAATGAAGGAGTTAATTTACATCAATCTTTAATAATATAAAGTTAGTTATGGACAATATTTGGATATATGGGTTGTGACGTTAAAATACAAGGGTATATTAAACCGGAAAGAGATGGATGTTCAACACGCTACTACCGTGAGTGAGCTGTCTATTTATTTGTATGGTTGTATGTCAGTTGTAGCTTTACATAAGGAGATATATCAGGAGTCTATCTACACAAGTTGAACTCTATCAGATACTACTTGAGATGTGAATTCATGTGATTACAGAACTACTTGAGATGTGAGCTGTGTCTGCTATCTCTTAGAACTTAGAAGAGAGTCCTAGAAATTGCTGCTGCTGGACTTGGTTCAACTTGACAGTAGGTTAGATAGGTGACTAATATCTTGAGAACAGGAAAGTACTTTTGCTTGAGATCAGTTCTAAGATCGATGGAAATGTGTTTTTGGCGCACAGATGCATGCTGCTGTTCAGAAGCTCATATAAAGAATCGATTTTTGCTAATGGCAGTTTGGTTTCATCAGTAAAAACAACATTCTATGCCTCATTGCTCGGCTGCCTCCTTGGAAAAGAATCCGATGGGAAAATAACTAGGATCTCCAGGCTTTCCTGTCCAAGCTAGATATTCTTCATCAATACTCTAAGCTTCAATTCTTGCATCTTGATGTCAAAATTAAATCTTTATTAAAAAGATGATACAACTTCATGTTCAAGGCTAAAGTCCAGATTTCTGCATTCCTGCAAAACGTTTTCTTTTCCATCTTCAGATTTTCTTACTGGACAACAAGAACTAGAATTCATGACAGCTACCCCCAAATATTCAGAAATTATGAGAGCAAAATGGAGACATCGTTCTTTTACGCTTACAGTCTGAATCCAAATGATGCAATCAAGTCTCAAATGCTTCATAGCTCTATACATCTGAATTTTCTTTAACTGTTCTTGACTTCTGAACTTGTAATAAGATACTTCTTGTTGTTGTCTAGAAAGCTAATATTACATGTCAACAAAAACCTAAAGTTCAGCGATTGCGAAAAATTGAGAAAAATGGAATGTGGGATAGTTAATTAGAGCATGAAATGTATACGGAATGAAGATCCTCTATCAATTAGTTGATGATGCAGATTGGTGGTAGATCGAGAGTGCTCCAAAGAGATAATTCACCATCATTGCTCAAAGAAGGGGAGGAAGAAGAAGAAGATCCCATTTCGATTGAACTTTGCAAGTAGTCATCCTGTTTCAGCATCACTTCCACGCTTTCTTCTTCTGATCTATTCTCCTCTTTCTTCTTGTTGCATGCACTCCGAAGTTTGGTTAATTGATCAGAGCGTCCTTTCCCCTTCACATTTCCTGATCCAAGCTTCAACTTTAAGCATTCGGGAATTCCATTAAAAGCATAGAGAGAAGCTGAGAACTTCCTCTCATACTTCATCCTCTTCATGGCTGCTTTAAGCATAGAAGGCTCGTCACCGTAGTACTCTGGCTCCACTAGCTCCTCAATCTCTTCAGCAATCTCAAAAGCAGAGTAGTAACAAGAAGATTCAACATCATCAACGAAATGGAAATCCAAAGCTCCGATATCGGTCCCTTCTTCACCCTCTTCTTCTCCTTCACCTCCCAAGTTGTTACCATCACCGCTAGAGGACTGTGCTACATCACTCCAGTTATAGTCAAACTCCAATCCTTTTCCCCCACTATCTTCTTTCTCTGCTAAGCATGACTCAAGAACTGTTGTCATTCCATCAATTTCACTTGCATTAGCATTTTGGATATTATCGTTGCACATGGTGTAATATTCAGGATCATCAAGGAAATCAGCGAACTGGGTGTCTGAGATATCAGTTTCTGGTTCTCTGTATTCCTCCACTTGCTTTTCCTGCTGACTGTGGGGAACCTGAGAGGTTGTGGAAGGACCACAAGAGTTATTTCTTGCTTTAAGCCTTTGGAGAAGAAGGTTAGTAATCTTCGTTGGAAGAGCAGGAGTTGTCGAAGAAGTCGGCAAACAAGGCCAGAAGTTTGTTCTTGTATTGGCACCGCGAAGCAAGCAAGCAGCTTCATCATAGGCTCTTGCTGCTTCCTCAGCAGTATCAAAGGTGCCTAACCACACCCTTATTTTTTGTATGGTGTCCTTAATCTCAGCCACCCATCTACCTGAAGGCCTTTGTCGGACACCAACAAATCGCTTCCTAGCTCTCCTAGCTCCTCCTAGTGCTGCTGCTGCTGCAGCTTCCTTGACCATCTCATCCCAAGCCATGGTTCCTTCACTAGAGTTCTTGTCCTCAACACTTTCACTGACCTTTCTCTTCCTAGCCATGTCTTTCTTTCTTTAAGAAGACCAAGTTCCTTAGATTCTCTTTTGGGTTATGCAATAGTTGTTGGAGCTTATGTTTATTGCTTTGGCTATGCTGTGCTGATTGGTGAGGTTGCATTTATATGAGGGACTTTGAAGATCCTGTCAAATGAGAGTGGAGAGTTGAAACGGTCTTATTGTTTGTTCATATTTCTTTGTTCTTTTTTTAGTTTAAGCCTCTTATGGAACCAGGTGGAGGTTTCTCTTAAGTTACAGTGAGAGAGTACCAAATGGAAGTAATGTGATGTGGTGCAAACGCTGTGAATTTTGCTTTGACTTAGACAAAGGGTATCTTGCTTCCTAAAATTCTATTGTTTCTAATGCAGAAATCTAAGCCTGAATGGGTCATTCTACTCTTTTCATCAATCTTTATTGGTTAGACTTATTTGTAGAGCTGAATTAAGATATATATTTGATTTCCCTAAGCAACCTGTCCTTAAGCACTTGGTAGACAAACATTGAAGTCATCACTGTCATGAAAGAGACTAATTGTAGCTTTTCTTTTGTATGACATAGAAAAATTAATGCATTATTTAACTAGCCAAAATGAGTTCCAACAAATTTTAGCCCCATTTCCATGGTCTAAACAAGGGGCAGAATATCCATTAACATCACCTGCAGAGATATGCATGGATGCTGCAGTCGACTGGAAAATTATTGCAGTTCACGTATCATAAACGTCAAGTGTGATTTAGTACTTAATTGGCAATGACACTCTTGTTTTCTTGTGGTTAATAACATAGAAGGTTAAAAACCATAAGAAGCAGAATATTCATGGGATTTTCAACTCAAAACAGGTAAACAGAAGTCCTGCATCTTCGAAGGAAAAACCCAATATCCCTAGCAAAACCTGTTTCCCTATAATATGAAAGGAAACCAGCCATGTTAGTCACTTTCAAGCTCCAAAAAGTTTAAGAAAATTACTTGGGATTATTAGTCGTTCGTAGCAAAAAACTAATCATTCTTGCTTTTGTCATTGCTAATAAAAAATCTAAAAATGTCGATTTCTCCAAAGTCCCACCACAAGAAGCACGTCCCAGGACCAGCCACTGGAGCTGACGCTTACCAATATTTGATTATAGACAAAATTTAAATTAATATTAAACTTGTTTTGCAATGAATCAATGTATTTTATTAATCCATATTTTGGAATATTGTTATCATGAAACCGTTTATTTTAAAGAATTGAAGCGTGAAGCAATCTTTAAATGCAGGTTACATGCCTGGACTTAACACTAACTCACTCTCCTTTTAGAAATTCCTATGAAGCGCAACAGACACATAAAAAGTTTTTTTTAAAAAAAATACTTCATTAAGCTTATAAATCGCTTCAGTTTTTAGATCACTTGTCATTCATCAGAATATCAATCAAAAACCAAGAAGCTCGCCATCAAACAAATGTGTTTAGCAGTTATTGGTTAAGTGTGAATATTGTCATCAACAGCAAGGTGGCTAAGCTCATTGTATTTTTACTTCAAATATCACTATCCATGTAAATGAAATGTTTATTTATTTATTTATTTTATGCTCAGAATATCTTTGAATTATTTTGCGTGCATCAATATTAAATTTTTTTATGAATTGGATTTTAAGTAGATTATTTATATCCACACTCGTGTGTTTTAAAAAAAGTTCTCACAATATTCAAAGATAATATAAAAGTACAAAACATTCACATATAACTCGAGTTAATTCACATAAAAAAGGCTAAATAACAATAAAAATTAGTGACGGACGTAAAAGTTAATGGTATACGAGTGACGAATTTGCGAGATCGTAACGATCGTTATCAATTAAGATTGATAGCAACAGACTACTTATTAATCAATAATGGAAATTCAATGACGAAGTGTTCCATTGTGAAAAAACGTTGTAAATTTTTGGCGGCTCTATCAACGACGAATACCAATAAATTTGCAACGGTTTTTATCGACGGATTTTAATTTTCATCGTTATTGCTGGAGTCTTTTTTCTTCTTATTGGCGACGAATATTCGTGGATAAGCCTTTCATTCCCTTACCATATATTGATAGAAAATTTCCATCACTCAAACAATGAGTGTTTAGTGATAAAAAATCTCATCACTAATAGGTGAAATAAATGACGGGATTGGCAATTTAAATAGTAACGTACACTTAAATCTATTTCTCAAAACTTAGTTCTATGGCTAAGCAACGACATAATTGTGTTCATCGTTAAAAAACCCCTAAAACTAGGTAAAATCCCCTTCTTCCTCGATTTTCTTCTTTTCCTCCACTAAAAAACCCTTATCCAACCTCTTTCAAGAAGGCAACCATCGCCATCACTACAAACAGCCTCCTTTGCCCATCCGGTCATTCCTTCTCTCCAACAACGACGTGAACATCCTCCTTTTCAGTCGAAACACTCACAAAAAAACCCTTCGACTCATCGCACCATACATTGTTCAGCCACTTCATGTTAGTGTACGTGGCTAAGATCTAACTTATTTAAATGACTTGATATATTGTAACATTACATTTTAATATTACTAAAAAAGTCTTTCTATTAATTTTTGTTATTTATAATTGGACGAAATTAGATAAAAGTCTATATGATATGCATTGTATTAATGATTGATCAAAAGATGTGAGACAACTCTCAATGCATTTAAATGATATCATTAAATGTCCCAAGTTATAGCATTGTCAAGATTGGACATTGATAACATACAATAAGATTTGTGAGTGCTATGCTCATGCTATCGGATAGCAATGGAAGCTCGACGCCTACCGATATGGTGATGCCATAACAAGCATTTAGGTGAATAATGTTAGAAAACATATCACTAGACGTGACTTTCCATGAGAACCCATTTGATTTATTCTATGAAAATTTCATATGAGATAGGTACAACTCGATCCTTTGAGTTGAAATCATCATAGTTATCTCATTAGAGGATTTATGTACTTTGACATTCGTTTCGATGGGCTCACTAAACAATCACATGTGGGTGATTCGATGGGTGTATTAAGAATCTAATAGAGATAGGTATTTGATTATGATAGTATATGTTATTCCTTATATGATAAAGGAGTTATTACATTGCATTTCGATGAATATTTGCTCAAGGAATCTATGGCCATAGTGGGAGTATACCAAGAAAGTATAGTTGGTTTACTTTAGATTTAAGACATTTGAGAATCAAAGAAAACTTGTATGATCATAATCAAGTAGACAATAAACCAAGTTCGAGATCACATTGTGATAAATTGACATGAGGATTAAATTATATAAAAACCATACTTGTGAAAGGTAATTATAAATTAACTAATCGTCTTAGAGAATTGGATAGTCATGATGTATTGTTAGGCCAATCTTGATTTATATATCGAGAGATAAAAGAAGTGTCTATTATTCTCAATACATTGTCAACATATCTAAGAGTCTATTGAGTTATACATATAAGTTTAAATATTCACATGATAAATGAGAAGAAAAGATTTTGGAAAAAGTTTTCTGTTTTGGAAAGTTTCTTATTTTGAAAAAAAAAATTTTCTAAAATGGAAAGTTTCCTATTTTGGAAAACATTTCTTGTTTTGGAAAGCTTCCAATTTTGAAAATTAGTTTTCTAATTTGAAAATTAGTTCCAAATTTGAAAGTTTGCTACCTAAAATAGAAATTAGTTTCTTAATTTAGGTTTAAAGATAATTTAAAAAATTGACCTAATGTGGGCCTCACTAAAGCACTTGATCCAATTTATTTGGATGGTCCAAATTAATTAATAATTAATAAGCCAAAATAGTTTAGGCTAGTAGGTTTAATTTAAAAATCTGCAGGGTATTTTGGTGGAGGGATAAATTTGAGCATTATTGGATAAGGTTTAGGTTTTACAAGGAAAAGGTTAAACAAATCCCATAAAGCAACATCTTCATGACTTACAAGGAGAAGTTGCTGCCCTTGATAAATAAAGGAAGGAGAGACGGATGACGGACATACAAGAAAAGGAAAAGAAAAGTGTTTTCTCCCTCAAAAAGCCACCACCCTCTCTCTCTTTCTTTCTCTAAGGTTAGCACAAAAACCCTAAAAGGGATTTCTAGAGAAAACTTTACATGCGGAATAGTTAGAGCTAACACACAATAATTTTTGTAGGTGCTTATGTAGGTATTTAAGTCGTGTGGATTATTAGTAAAGGCTAGACACTTGGATGGTTCATTCATAAATTGATTCCGTGCTAGAAGAGGTAATCACTCATTGTATTCTTATTCATGTTTATGTATGATTAGTTAATTTAACGAAGCATGATCTTGAGAACTTTAGATGGAGGAGAACAAAATTTTTCATTTATTTCGCACCTACATAGGATCCATGATCCTATAATCGGTATCGAGCCTCTATTAAATCTATAATTGTATATTATGTTAATTTTTTATTATAAATTTATCATTTTTGGTATTTTATAATGTTTCTAAGACCGAGTTTTGGGTTTGAGGAAAAGGGTTAGTGCTAGGCCAAAGTTGAACATTAGCACTAGCGAGTGCGCCAGCACGTGGCTAGGCCAATGGCCATGCCACTAGTAGGCCGGACGTGTGAGCACGCTAGGCCAAGTGAGCCTATCCCACAATAGGCTAGTGGGGCTGCTGGCTAGTATAGGTATTGACTAGTCGGCTAATTACTTATGCTCGGCCAAGCGTGCCTCGCGTACACTAGGAGTGCATAAGGGCAAGCATGCCCGAGCCGTGCATACTTACGAGTGCACGCTAGGCCAACCGGCTAGCTCGGCATGCCTCATGCATGCCGGACCTATCGGCAATCGAGCTAGTGCTAGGTACTAGCCAATGGTAGTTGTGGCTCGGTGCTAGGCACTAGCTAGTTAGGATGTGATAGACCATGGGCCTCTAAGGCCCAAAAGTCTAAAAAATTAAATTTAGAGATGTTTTAATATTTTTATAAAATGACTAAACTCATAGATTTATAATTATGATTAAAATAAAATGTGCTTTATT